TAACCATGAACATTTTGTAGGGCTGGAGAGGTTTGGAGAGTATATGATTACAAACAAAAGTGAATACTCTCACGTTTTCCTGGCCATTCTTTCAGGAACAAATACTAAATCAATGGGATAGTTGCTGATGTCACCAATCACTGCATAAATGATTCACAGGTGTCATCCTGTTCTGGGTCAATTACACAAGGCCCTTCTAAATCAGGTCAACTTTCAAACAATCATATCTCTGAAACAAACTGGCCTATAAATATGAAACAAAGTGCACCTTGGAATTACTGGTTTTTTGGACTTTGTCCATTGTCCGGTACTCTAGAAACTAGAAAACAAAACGTTTCAGAAACTGGATCTGTTTCTCCTTAGAAAGAGCAAACCTCCAGTGACTGAGGTTAGCTCTTTCTAAGGGACCCAACAGAGTAGATGCCTTCCCCTCTTTAACCTGAGGATGGAAACGGATCCAGTTTCTGAAACACTGTGTCTTTCTAGTTTCTAGAATACCAGACAATGGACAAAGTTAAAAAATCCATTAATTCCAAGTACTGTACACCATCATCAGAACTCTTTTGAATCTAAAGTGTACCTTATTACACATTCTACCCCAGTCACATTTTTCAGTTTCATGGATATTCTATGTTTCCTTGTGTGATGCAGACAGTTTCCCATTTGTCTTATCTTAAGTGCAGCAATAGCTGCACCAATCCTCGCTTGCAATCACACTTGCTCCCTGATGTGGTGCCACAGAAAGAAGTCTGCTGGAGTCAAGTGAGGTGAACAAGAAGGCCAGACAGTGGGCTGCACTTAATGAATCCATGCACTGACAATGTCTGTATTGCACATCTGTTCCATGGACATGCATAAGTTTTGTGTTCCCCACACCCTGAGCCATTCTGTTACCTCGCTTTGCCACTGATGTGAAACTGGACTCATTACTTCGTCACAGAAGGCTGAATGTTTGGCAGAAAGCCCCTGTACATCCTCGCTTTTTCACGTAATGATGGAAACTAATATGGTTTCCAAAACACTGCACTCAGTTTGTAACACTACGACAGTGAAGAAAGTTCAGAAACCAAAGAATACTAAGTGATGAAATGTGTCTATCAGCATTCTGCTCAGAAAATTACAAAAATAAAAGGAATTACAAAAAATAACTTCTGTTCTTACATCTTTGTACTCTCTATATTTTACTTCTAAGCAATTATTTCACTATACCTTCACTGTACTTTCTCATAATTTCCATTGACACATTTGACACATTTGTGTCACCTGGTACAGATAATTTTACCTTGCCATCCACGAGAAGAGGACAGGGGCCACTATCATGATGACAGTGATGATAACGGGCATGATCATGGTTGCTCCGTGGTTTGCAGTTGCCGTGTCAGTGACACGTGTCTCCTCACGCAACAGGAACCAAATTATAAAGCCAGTGCTCGCTAGCACCAACGCTATGAAGATATTCAAGCTGATGCGAACAGCAAGAAGGAAGCATTTACCCTGCCAGCTCAGCTCGGCAACCTCCTTCTTGATATCTCCCAGCAGCTCCTGCAAGTATTAGCTCACCTCCATTGCTGTTTCTAGCCTCTTTCTTACCAGCTACAAATTAATTCGGAGGGGGGGGGGAATGGTATGGGAAAATGCACTTCTGCCACTTCATCACTAGATGGAGATGAATGGTCAGCTTTGTGCCCTGGCCACTTAAACCCCAGGGAAACATGCGTGTTTGACTGTAGACAAGGAGCAACACAGAGTCAAGATAAAAGTCTCTCATGCCTACCAGGAACTGACTGCTGGTTCCTACATTGTCAAGCCTGCTCTCTTGTTAGCATACTGACTGAGCTACCCCAAGCCACTTGGTCAGTTTAAAAAAGCTGAGGCTGAGGAAGAAGTGTAAGGAGAAGCAGAAGAAGAAAGATACAAAAATAAAACGACAGTAGATGATGGAGGGGCAGACAAAGATAAGAAAGGAGAACACAACAGGTTACATGCTCACCTTCAATTCATTGTAGATGCTTTTTGACTTGAGAGCCGCAGCTTCATTTGTGGCAGTGCTGAAGTCCCACGCACAGAAAACTTTCTGGGCAAACATGCTCTTGATGTCCCCCTCATTCTCAATGAATGTGCGGCGGTAGGACCTTGCCATACTGTAATATCGCCATAGAACATACAATCCCACTTGCTGCTTCTTGTCATAAACATTCAATTACTTAACCAACTCCTTACACACTTTGATGCGGCAAATGAAACCAGTGCACATGGTGATGAGCGCAGAATTTGATAAAATCATGGCTAATTAAAAATCTCTTCTGATCCCTTCCTCCTTCCTGTCACTGTTCTCTTTTTATGTGGGTCAATGGATAAAATGTTCCTCATCTCCTCTTCCTTCACACAGTCCTTCCCTTTCATTATCATCAGATCTTTCTTCTCCCCATGATGCTCTCCTACACCTGCCTGAACCATCTTCTTCTAGGTTATCCCAAAGGTCCCTTTCTATTAAACTTTAATCCTAATGCCCTTCTCACTATCCTTGGTCTGTCCATTCTGTTTACACAACCAAGAAACTGTGATCACTCCCCTTCTAGCTCTGTTAATGAGCTGCAAATTCCAACTTCTTCACTACAAAGCTCATTTCCGTTTCTAAGTCTTTTTCTTTCTCCTCAATACCTGTTTTGTCTTCTCTCTCTGTGGTTTATTTTATGATGTCGTCAATATGTCATATTTGCTTGGCATAAGCTTCAAGGGACTGAGGAATACTATAAAGAATGTGTCAGTGATGACACAGATGTCCCAGTCCAGACTCAAACTAGGCACCTCCCAAATACAAGTCCAGAGAATTACCACTACAGACCAACCCCCTCAGTTCTCCTTTGCTGGGCAGGAGAGTGCTGGAATCCAGTCTCCAGAAAAAACTCATGTTTAGAGTTCTGTACTTTAAGTCGGACAATATACAAAATACAAATAACAATTCTTGATCAAATACTGTGCACATTTTGTGCTTACCTGACAGACAGTACAACAAACATGACGAGATAGCATGCCAGCACAGTGAAGAAGTACGCAGCTGGAATGCTATATGTCTGACCCAGCACCAAGTTCACAGACTCGTTAGTGTAGTGGCCATAGTACAGAGCTGTATCCGTGAAGAAACCCTACAAAACAGACCATCCTGTATCCCTGTTTCTGTGGATTATTTTGCCATCAGCTTCAATATGTGCATGCACATGTCTGTACTTACATGGCAACCTGCACCAATTCAGACAAGCTAAACAACTGGACAATTTATTTTAACTCTGTATGACTGCCATGTTCTGGGATGTGACACCAACCAGTCTAGCACAGAGTATCCCACAAACTGTTCAGTCACCTGGGTGAAAGTCAGATGCTCTTGGCCAATCACAATGAAATTGCTTACCAAAGTTTTGGTGGAATATGAAGAAGGGAGCAGCATGTTGTCCCAAAATGATGTTGACCACCAAACTACATAACATCACATCCCAGAACACAGCATCTAAATATTCACTGCCTTCATAACTTCAGATCTCATGTTCCAACATCTACCAACATCTAGTACATAACTGCATAATGAGAAGGACGGGCTGTTTTTAGCATTACAGCCCTTCATGTCCCTTTACCTCCCTGTAAGTAGCCATGATTAACTAAAGAACACCTACTTTTCTGTCAGCTTATAACATAGTTAATGACTGTGGTTATGTCACTACAATAATAATTTTAATAAGTACAATAAAAATAAACATCATAATGACAATCAGACATGGCCATGCCACAGCTCATGTGGTTAAGTGCTGCTTCTCCCCAGAGAGCCCTGGTTCAATCTCAGGGGAGGTGACTTCACATGACATTTGTGATGGATGAAGTGGCGCTAGAGCAAGTTTTCACCGAGTTTCTTCAGTTCCTCTCCATTAAACATCATTCCACTGCTACATACTGTCACTAACCCCTGAGGAGTGAGACAGGCCTGACCAGGCAGTGCATTATCACATCCTCGAGCTGTAAATTAGAGGCTTCATTCTGAGTATTTTAGTTTCCTCTGCCAATTCTCATTCCAGTGACTGCTCCACACTCAACATCTATCATCCGGGGCTGATACTAGAGGCCAAATTGTGGCCAAAGTACCAAGTTGACTCAGTCTCATCCTGCCCCAAGAAACTAAAAAAATTAAAAATAAGAGGCTTCAACTCTGACCCAGCAAATGGATGGTTACAGATTAAGAAGTTACCTATCTCCTTAAATGAAGTGCATATTAAACATATTTCTTCAGCTGGTGTGCACACTGGCAAACTTGTCAAAAGTCAGGAGGCACGCATCTGTCAGTGCACTGTGCTTTTGACCTTGAGGCTAAAATTGAGTACGACAAACACATGCTTAGAGATAACCATGATTCAGAAAGCTGAATAGCTTCCAGCCTTATAAGTATCTTGTCATGGCATTCCACTTCAGCCTTCATAAAACCTGTGTGCTACATAGCAAAGTACCAATGTTACAATTTGCAAAACTAACAAAGCCTTCGTAAAATATGATAGAACCTTCTCAGGTGGCTAGCTGTGTCAATTCGAAGCAAAGTCCAATGTTTTGGAAACCTTCTCGGCCTTCAAAATTCCCTGATGGTGGATGTATAGAAGGTCTTTGAAACTCTGGACTTCTGCTCCAAACTGACATGGGTGGTCAACTGTAATTTCATTACTTTTATTTGCTGTGAAAATTTAAAGAGAAATTAGCTTGAAAAGTTTACTTACTTCTGATTCATCCATAACTTGAACACTGTACACATAAGAGAGAACATGTGTTAGTTCAAACCTGATGAAAAATTATATGAGAAAACTTAAACACTTATTTTTCCTGCAATTTCTCTGTGGGCAATTTTATGACGCTGTCAGTAGCTAAAACATATAACATCAAATGTTAAAATCATAGCTGAATGATGATTCAGAAAGGATTTCAAAGAAGTGGTTCTGGTCTAATCTTGGCACTATCCTGGAATCTGCCTGGATGGACTCATGAAAACCATGAAAACTTAAGTCATGACGAGTATAGAGTGTTACTGCTATACCAGCCAGCTTGTTGTTGTTATGTTTCTAACAACAGCGTACTAGAATAAACATGACTACTGCTTTGGATACTGTCCATCACCCTGAGCTTCGCAGATGTGCTTCACACACTAGTCTGTTTCCACAATCAAGTGCATGGAAAAGGGTTTCTACTCTGCTACAGCTGGTCTTGATCACTAGACCTCATGCTGATGACAAAAACAGCTTCAGTTCCTGAGAAGCCTCGAGATCATGACAATGACTGAACTGACAGCCACATTCGAACACAAGTAACCAACACTACATGTAAGGAATTGCAATCTGCAAGAAGATGGTATGGGCATATTTTAAGAATGAAAAGACAGCACCCCAAAGAAGGTTTCCTACATGATACCAATAGGAAAACACCCAAGACAAAGACCAAGATCACGATGGAAATAACAGCTTAGGAAAGATGTCATGCAGAAAGAAGAGCAGGAGAGGAAACAGAGGACAGAGAGAGACAAAGTTAACCCATATAAAGTAGAAATGTCTAAGAAAGAAGATATGATTCCAGAGAATGCTCAGAAATAAACAGAATCCAGATACCAGCATCTTACTATGCTAACTATACCAGGTGTCCTGTACAAAATGACCCTTAAATAATCTGATACCAATATGGATGTGTTCCACACAGACACACAAACATTTGACAACCTACTCATCTACCCTCCCACATTAACACATTTGCTGCCAATCCTGTCACCCAACTGCTTGAGACTGATGGCCAACCAGCATTTATTCCATCATGTAACGGGCTATTGCCATGGTGCATATATTGTATATGCCATTTTCTCTTATAGACGTCACTCGAGTAGAAAGAAACTTTGAGCATTGCTAGAAACACACAGAAAGTATTCACTGTATTCTCTCCTCTTCCGTTTTAATTTTCGTATGCGTTAAGTTCAAAACTGAGTTACTGTGAAGAAAGGGCTGGCCGAGCAGGTAGGATTCCAGTGTGTGCAAGGCAGTCAACGTGCTGAAGGAGAGAGGGTAGCAGTGTTGGTGTCGGACTTGCCATACCTCCCCTGTGAAGATATTGCCAATGGAGAAGTCTGCATTTGGGGTGTATGCATTGCTCTTAACTTGAGGCCGATACTTTCCTGATGGAGGGAGCTTCCAGTTCTGCGTCGTGACAGGAACAGGAGTGACTGCAAGATATAATGAGAACAGTGAAAGATTGCAGGTTTTCTCAGCAGTGATATGAAGATGAGTGTCTTCTGACATGTGATACTGAATAGTCTCACAGATAATTACCGTATTTACGCATGTAGGGCCGCATGCGTGTATAGGCCGCAGCACAATTTTCAGACAGAAATTATAGAAAAAATAATTTTCTTGGAATATTATTTCAGAAGTAGAACACCCTGTATTACTAATTATGAATATAATTTTTTTTAAATGAAGTGTGATTTCGAATATTTCGAATATAAGCCGCACCCCAGTTTTCCTCTTGAATTTTTGGCAAAAAATGTGCGGCCTATACATGCGTAAATACGGTACTTATGTCTCAGAGGGTACAGGGACCTGGAGATAGAGCAGTACATTCCCCGTCCACATAAGTAGTAATTCAGACTACATGATGTCACACCACCACAAGATACTAATCTTTACAAGAAAAGTGTGCATGTCTATATCATCATCATCAGTAATCTGTCAANGGTTTTCTTGCTATCTTCTCAACTTTACCTACCAAATCACTGATAGTATCTAACATGCATTCTTTTATATCGTTCCACTGCGCTTCAGCATTTCCGCTTTCACCTTCAATTGCACCGAGTTTCTCTTCTAGAGTCTCTTGCACGCTTTGTCTTTGAGCATATAACTTCTCCAAATCCCATCTGGGTCTGCGCTTTCGAAATCCTATAATTTTCTTCAACCTGGTTCGGAACTTGGCAACCAGCACATGTCTATATACCAGACTAAATTTAATGGTTGCCTGCTATAAATAATACTACATGCCTATAGGGGGTACTTAACCATGTGAAGCAACAGCCATTGCTAAGTAATGGCTCTGCAAACAATGAAAGCACAATACAACTGCACTGCAACAGAGGAATGGTGTTTTCTACATGTTCTGTGCTGGATGTTATAAGCATGCTATGAGAAGCTGATAGCTGAGGCCAGAGTCAGTTCATGAATCCAGAGAAAAGGGAAAGTCCGCCGTTGGAAGCAGCTACCAAGCAACGGCTAGTGAAACAGACTGAGAAGACCTAGTGTGTGCTATAGTGATCTGTGAAGTGTGTAGAACAGTGACAGCATAATCCTTACTTGTACCTACGAGTTCTAAGAGTTCAGTAAACCTGATTACCAATCCAGACCCCATCTATAGTCACTAAAAGTGTGACAGTATATTTGTACCGCCTGCTTTACCATTCTAAACCCTTGCAGTCTGCTTACGTCGCAAATTTATGTGCTTCATATGATTCTCACAATAAACAGACATAATTTCCCTAAATAACATACACCAACCTGCTCTGCAGTGAAGTAAGAGTGCACCTTCTGTGAGGGAGGAGTTGGATTTTTAAGTGTTACTCTGATGCAGTTCATGCTCAAAAGGAATGAAGCAAGCACAGGATATGGTGAATTCAAATGATACCTATATGGTGTCATGCATGCGGGCCAGATAAAAACATTCTACAATATATGTTGAAAGCAGATGAAAGTTCATGGTCAGGGAACGGACCAGATAGAGGTTATATGATTCTAAATATAGTGACTGGAAAGGGGACCACCGAGTCATGTATCGAGCACAGACCAGCAGAACAAGAAGCTGATCATTGCTTCTACTTCCCTTATACAATTCTGTGGTGCTATGATGCTTAACCCTTTCCCATCATTTTCCTTTCTAATTTCATTCCTACCAACTTATGGATTAAACAGAGCATAGACTTAAAAAGGGGGCACTTTACAATGGGAAAATAAAGACTCCTACCATCTGTTGTTCACATACACAAACTACTAGAAGACATGTGACAGGAACGTAAGTAGCAAAGGTATAACACTCAGTTTGCAGTCACAATTGTGTGAATTAATAATGAAGGTGGAGGAATGATAGGTAACAGTCAGGATACAGAGCTGTTCTAACGTTATCCAAAAGCCTGTTAAACTAAAATATCCATTACACACACTGTAGTACCTGACCAACAGTGAAACACTTCGCACCAATTACACAAGGTGGATTTAGTACCGGTAAGACATGTTTACTAAATGTAAAAATGAATCATTAAACATATTCCTCAGACGAGGAAATATTTCAGACTTNTTGGTTATGCGAGAAAGTCTGAAATGAAGAAAGCAGTCTTCTGGGATTTGGCACCTTGTATACAGGGTGTCCCAGGAGGAATGGACCAAACTTTGGGAGGGTGTTCCTTATGTTAAAGTATGCCGATATAACCCAAAATACCTATGTCCAAAGTTGAACGGTTTCAGAGATAATGGCCCAAGAAAAGTGTGGTCTTCTGGCAGGTCCACGCACTGTACCTCTCAGCTGAGAGGCCTTATCTGTGTTTGTCCTTGAGTGCGGTGATTCACCCTAGCCATGCTTATGTAGTTGGCTTATACCAGACCGCGCAGTCAGCATGTTACGTCAGTGCTTGCCATTCATGTGTCATGTATAGTGCTTGGAAACCCTAAGGACAATTATGACATGGCAACCAAGTATTTTGTACTTCAATTTTATGGCTTCATGTCACTCACAAGTTAGTTTTATGTTACGTACATTATTAACATTACAGAATCCACATATTCCTGCCAGTTTTAATATGTATTTTGTAATCAACAAGTGTGCAACGCCGGTCAAAGTTTCACACTTCTCTGGCCATTATCTCCGTAACCGTTCAACTTTGGACATAGGTGTTTTGGGTTATATCGGCATACTTTAACATAAGGAACACCCTCCCGAAGTTTGGTCCATTCCTCCTGGGACACCCTGTATACAAGGTGCCAAATCCCAGAAGACTGCTTTCTTCATTTCAGACTTTCTCGCATAACCAACCAACTCCATGAAGCCCTTCTTGAGAAGCTGACAGCTGCTCAGCCAGTCCAGAAATTCTACACACATTACGGTATCCAAAGTTACGTTACAGTGTTCACAACAGACCCTCACTCCACCTTATCATACACCAAATGATCCCAGATCACCCCTCCACACCCAGTTTCCTATGCATCACTTTAATATTATCCTCTCGCCTATGATTATTTCTCCCCAGTTACCTCTCTCCATCGTGCTTCCTGACATGCCAAAATATTTTGCGGACTAATCATCCGTACCCATTATGCGGACTGAGTACTAAACTGAAGCTAAAATGTAAAAAAAAAAAAATCAGCACTAAGATTTAGACTTTGGCTCACTGAAAGTGAATATTAAATTAGGGAAAATCTTAAGAGGGCCATTAAATCGGCGTTTGTGACAAGAATTTCAGTTAAACTGCATGTCTTAATTTGCCAATTATCTCTGTGTATATGAACAGCTTCCTTTCCTGACGTCACCAGTCCTACAATAGTGTTTCATGTCCCTTACCTATATGTCTTGTCGAGTTATTTTCTTCATATAATCGAAAGACACTGTCCAAGTCACTGGGAGTGAAAAATACAGATGCCATGTCATACAGTGAACTCCCTGTGTCATTCTGGCTTGCTTCCACAGGCTTATGCAGACGATACAGTAGCTGAGGAATTACAATGAAACCGAAACTGGAAGAAAAATTGGGAAACAAATTATCAGAGATTAGGACAGTACAAAGTAAAACTGTTCATAATCTCAGTGTCTGGGTGATACGCTCATTTCTCAAAGTCAAAGACTGCTGCTTCTGTGTTAAGAGCACTTGCTTCTTTAAAGAACTCAGTCGCTTGCTCTCTGTATATAGCGCGCTTTCTGCATGTCGCTCCAACTGCGATTTCATAGGACACCCAATACTTCTGTTGCAAGCCAGACATATTACGAATTTACAGTTGGCTGTGAAGGAATTGTCCATTTTTACCCACAAATTTCATTTTGTTATTTTCGTTGTGGTTATCAGCCATTCATTCAAAAGACATTTGCTTGAGAGTATTTCTCATTGTTGGATTCTCAATGCATTACGTTTTCAGCATGGATATTATGCGTATTATTTACGTAGTTCATTAAGGATTATGATGTAATGTTATTATCAGTGTTGGATTGTAGGTTTTTCAGACTAGTTATGCTGTTAAGTGCCAGTCACGGTAGCCGAGCGGTCTAAGGCATGCACTGTCTTCGCTCGCTCGGAAGCCAGGATCATGAGTTTGAATCCCACTCAGGGCATGGATGTTTGTGTGCGTTTTTCTGTGTTTTTCTACAGGTAGAGGCCTCGCGACGAGCTGATCACTCACCCAAGGAGTCCTACCGTATGTGTAAGATCTAGAAAAACTGAAGTGAACGGAGTTCATGGAGGTAGGCCTAGGCCCACTGGGGCTATAGTGCCACGGGAAAAAAAAATGCTGTTAAGTGGTTTCTGTGTGTAGACATTATCACACACAAAGATGTGCAGTCACAGAAGAATAATAAAGGGAGAGATCAATAATTGAATACAAAAGAGTTATACAGTTTATCAAAGTATGAGGAATACTATGAAACAGAGAGATCCAAAAACAATGCACAACAAATTTTAAAAGAATCACAGGCCCGAAAGAGAGGCTCTTACAAAGAGAGACAAAACCAGAATCTAAGCAATGTATATGAACTCTCTGAGAAGTATTGAGTGAAGATAAGAAGAGCTGCATTAGGAACACTTCTACAGAGGTAGCTGGAATTCAAAGTCTGTTAAAGACTCTACTACTACAGTGGTTTGGCCATGTAAATTGGATGAATATAACATGGAGTGCATTGGAAAGAAAAATGAGAGGAAAGCGACCTTTGTGAAGAACCAGAACAAGGTGCTTTAGCCAAAATAATGGAACACATCAATAAGTGGGGAAACAATTGGTATGAACAAAGACAACACAGCAAGCCACGAATAAAAATGGACAATACTAAGAATCTCCTTTCTCAAGACAGACAGGCGACACAAGATCAACCACCTCCAAGAAAGACAATAGGAGAACTGACACGAACCTGCATGGTTTATAAAAATTGTAATCTTAAACAACAAAGTTTTTAAGAAACTTTAAAAATTTTAATACCAGGAAGGCTGCTGAGACTGTGAAAAGTTGAACATTGTGTACATTGTGTATTTCATACATTATATGTGTATGTATATAATTTGACACCTATTGTAATAGTAGTTTCTGGAAAAAGTATTGATGCCCTCTGAGGATGATCCATAAGGATCGAAACATGTAAGGTTTTCAAGTATAAAACTTAAATAGTCACACTGGTCGGTGTTATTTTTGTCTTTGTAATTGCTGGTGTGACGGACCAGAATGAAACAATTCAGAATCAAATTGGTATGAAATTAAGGGAAAATATTCTGGAAGGGAAGAAGAAATATAAATGCAGTTTTGCATGCCAGAGGCGTATGTCAAATATGCATCCAGCAACAGAGTTGTCACCTGATGACAAACACTACGGTGTTCAGAAGGAACAGCAACCGCAGAAATCTGAAGTAGGTGGCGACTCCACTGCCAAAATGTCCTTCGATTGTCTTCAGGCTGCTGTACCACAGCTCCAAGATGTATAGCAGATTTCTGATCGCCACACTGAACTGAAACAGCAACAGAAACATATGAGTTTTTCTTCTTATTCTCCTTTCTCCTTTTATTTTTAGGTGAGATGAGACTGAGTCCTTAGCAACTTTGGCTAAAAACTACCCATTGTATCCATCCTCAATGTTAGATGAGAGAAAGGAGCATTTGCTGAATAAGAATTGGCAAAGGGAACTGAAGTACTTGTGAGAAAACCTGCCCTGATGCTACTTTATTCATTGCAAATTCCAAATCGACTGCCATGGAACTGAACCAAGTCCAATGCAGTGAGAAAGCAGTGCCCAACATCCTGACTTATGGCAGGGCCAACAGTTCAACTTGTATGTTGGTTACCTAGCAACAAAGTGTCTCCATCTATCTCAGTCTTCCCAAAGCTCCTTCTCTCACTTTACTCGCACGTCTTTCCTAACCTGTTGCTCCCAGCCTGAGCTCAATGCCAGAACTAAATTTCATAGGAAACAGACATACGAGGCAACCAAAAGCAAGATGGCCCCACCAGTTACTGGAAGACATCAGGAAGTCAGGTAAGAGCTGGCAAGTAATTGAAGAGTGAAGGCTGTGGGAAGAAGGGTAGGACTGCAGACATTTCATACAGTAGCTTGTATAAAATGGAAATGATGAAGGAGACAAAAATGGCAAGAGATGAAGAGATTAAGAAGCAGAAGGAGAAAGAGTAGGATAATAAGTAGATGGAGAAGCAAATGGATGAATAAGAGAAGTAGAAGTAGATGGTGGAAGAGGAGATTAAGAAGCAGAAGGAGAAAGAGTAGGATAAGAAGTAGATGGAGAAGCAAATGGATGAGTAAGAGAAGTAGAAGTAGATGGTGGAAGAGGAGGAGATTAACAAATAGAAGGAGAAAAGGAGGCAGAGAAGCAGAAGTAGATGGAGGGGTGGAGGAGGGGGACAGAAGGCAGCAGGGTATGAGGAAGAAGAGACGTGAGAAAGAGATGGAAGAAGGGGAGAAGGAGAAGGAAGGGACAGGAGAGCAGAACAAGAAGATGTGAAGTCTGTTTGCTGCTGCTTCAACTCACTTTTTCTAGTGATATGCTCAGTCTGTACTTCAGTCTCTTCCAGACACTGAGAGGAGTGTGCTTGGATTTCTGGCTCACAGATTTCACGAGCTTCCTTTTTATTGTGCGCTTAATGGTCAGCGATTCTGGCATCTCTCTCAGGGTTTCCCTGGAAGAGAAGAAGAAAAAAATAAAAATATGTCAGCATAACATTGTATTCCACTAATACAGAGACCAATACTCAGATGGTTACATGCTGATCCTAAGTGACTTCATGTAGCCAAGCAGTCTAAGGCATGTACTGCCTTCGCTTGCTTGGAAACCGGGATCGTGGGTTCGAATCCCACTCAGGGCATGGATGTTTAGTTTGTGTGTGCTTTTTTCTGTGTTTGTGTACAGGTAGAGGCCTTGCGACGAGCTGATCACCCGCCCAAGACGTCCTATCGCATGTGTAAGATCTAGAAAAACCAAAGTGAACGGAGAAGTTCATGGAGGTAGGCCTAGGCCCACTGGGGCTGTAGTTCCAAGAAAAAAAAACAGTTCAGTGACATGCAAAGGCTTTAATAAAAACCATGTGCTACAATTTTGGTCCTTAACGCTGTAAAGGCAGACTTACATGCGCAGTTGCTCTGAAAGTGGATTGTCCCCCATCAAGGTAACATCCTTCTCCATCTCACTCACAATCTGTGCCACATGATGTTCCTCTGACTCCTGGTTTGCAGCGTGACACAGCAGCGGAATGTGTGGGGTCCCTTCCCCAGGTGAGAACAAATCTGAAATCAAACAGATGTGAACATTATCTTACCATGCAAACACCTGGCAATATCTTGATACCAATGCCTACACTCAGTGAGTAAGTCTTGGGTTCAAGCCTTAACCTGGTGACTGTGAACCTGACCATGGTGTATGTGGTCTTCCTTAGTCCCTCCATGCAAATATCATGACAATACCTTCAATTTCTCCATGACTGTTTCCATCCTCACCTGTCCAATTCACTGCTTGTTACTCATCCTAATATTTGATGCTACATAGCTTCAACTATTTGAAGAATCATAAATGTACACATAAGTAAATAACATTAGTTCAACAATGAAATTCTAAACAAACTTCAGAGAGAGCAAAACATTTTGGAGGAACACATCACCTCCATCTTCAGAGCTACAGAGTAAGCCAGGCATGAAACCAAGCACACAAGGCTTCATACCTGCTTGCACATGGCTTATGTAATGACCCTGAACATGGTGGGCTCTGTCAGAAGTATGCAGCAGTACAAGCCTGCAGACCAAACTTTCAAGGTCACCACTATGATGACCTCAAATTCAACAATATCCTAAATGTCCTTGTTAGTCTGCCTACATGTATCAGGAACTACTCACCTCCCATGTTTCGAGATGGAAGACCATTAATCACATCTTGTAGAGAAGGGACAGGCCAGTGTTGATGACGAGACAGTGTCCGACTGACAGAAGGTTGAGTGAGGATTCTATTGTTTTGAGGATTGAACTGGTACTGCGCTGAGCCTTTACTGGACATGCTGTGCTGTGGTACCATACCATGTTCAGCCTTCCTACCCCCTGTCATGGAATGGTGGTCTAGCCTCCTACTGTCCTGTTGCTGTTGGCTCTCTGCATCTTGCACTGCAGAAGAACTTATCATCATCTTTAGGCTTCATAGCCCACTTGCAGGTCTTACAAGTATTTCCACTTGAGATTTCAGTTCTCATAGGAATGACTATGTAGATTCTTTTCCCCTGGAATATGGCACCATAAGTACTTCAAACTACTTTTCCACCCTGAAGATGGAGGCAGTAGGTTCATCTGAAATGTTGGTAAATGTCCACCAGACTACACGGCATCACGTCCAAAGAAAGAAAGTAATCTTCTTAATGTTTCTATGTTTTTTAGAGATTTTGTTGACAGCTGATACTGTTAGCATACCACACAAAGTTTCGGAATGTTGCTATCACCTGACAAGTTCACAACATGGAATTTAAAAAAATATGCAGAAATGCCATTACCTATGATTCATACTAAGTTTCGTGTGAATAACCGATTAATTAGTTCAAAAGCCATTAATAGGTAAAAAACAAAGATACACACTGAACTATACCACTGCTCACATTGCCAGTGCCATGTTGTCCTGCCATACTGCTAGTGTTAACAGCAGATAATGAGGCAGTACTCTAAACAATGGTACGATAAGGGCATCAACAGCTGACGACACTATAAGCCTACAAGTATGCGTGGCAGAGAAATGTACTGCCTCCATCTTCAGAGCAGAAGAAATGCTGGTAAATATCCACCAGTGTACATGGCATCACACCCTAGAGAACAGTAAGCTGCATAATTACTGCCATGACAGCCTCAAGTCTCAAACTACAAGCCTATACTTGATGAAAAAAAAAAAAAAAAGAAAAGCTATCCCTGTACCAGGTCGCAAAGGCCCATAGGGTTGTGAGACATTGAGGGTCCCACATTATCTAGACAACTGGCTCAAAGATGGCAGTAAGCTTATCAGCCCTACGCACCGGCCGTGCTTTACTCCCCAGGAAAATTATTTAATTAATTCCTGGTACTCATTTCTGTTAGAGGCTGAGTAAACCCTAGGGCCTAGTGCAGCTGGAAGGATTAGGTCAACTGAAAAAAATCCAATGACCTCATCGGGCTATACTTCATGTATAATTATAAAATACAATACAATACAATAAGAAAACAAAAACTGTAACTATCTGACATCTCATAACTAAAAAATGTGGGTTGGAAAGTATGCAGAGGTATACTACTTATAAAATTTCTTCCAAAAATCCAAGAATACTGGAATCTAAATTTGTGTAAACCCCCCCCCCCCCATACAGTGTCATGAGAGCACCTCACATTTTTGGTACTCACATATCTCCATGTGTACATCTTCTCGAGAGTTGTAACCACTGTATCTGCTCATTGTGGGTCATAGATGCAGACAACAAATCATCCCGGTACCTAGAGCAACAGTATGAACAATTCTTTGTAGCATTTCANATCGGCATACTTTAACATAAGGAACACCCTCCCGAAGTTTGGCACATTCTTCCTGGGACACCCTGTATATATTTCATAGGGCTTAAACTGCTACTCAATTATGCAAGGTTACCAGAATGACTGAAATTATTGTACTGCCTGTATATTCCTTTATTTAACCCTTTAAAGCACAGTTGTAGCTATTTATACCACCTGCTTCAACGTTAATGAACACTACATTTTGCCCACAGAATGCATTTGTGTTTTTTATATGATTCTCACATTAAACAGTAATTACTTCCTTAATTATCATAAATTGGTTGCTCTTTATAATGGTGATGCACTGTGATTTCTGTGAGGCAGGAAGTGGATTTTTAAACATTATCCAGATGCACTGCTGGCTTCAAAGGGTTCATAACACTTTNTTTCTTGAACAAATATAAATACAAATACAAATACAAATACAAAATAACAATTCATCAAATCACAGGATGGTCATGAACTGTAAGGACTGGAAAGGAAGTAGTCCTGGCACACTTCATCACTGTCAGCAACACACTTCACGACCTAGGAATCCTATTTAAAGCAAAATTACCTGGAAAAAGCCAAATGGTTACAGAACTATTGTAAAAATGATGGAGATGGACCAAAAAAGATCTAAGTTTCCTCAGACCTTAGTAGCTAATATGAACTGAATCATGGCCATAACAAAAATTTAAAAAACACAACACTGAAACAAGTCCCAGTAATCTGAAACTTCCATGTTACATACCTTTGCTGTAAGTAATGTCAAACTCTAAGCGTGAATATTTGGTAACCTTCGACTGTGAATCACAACTGACACAATGACATAGTCACAGATAAGATTACTTATCTATATGATTTTTGATAGATAACACACACACCTATCATATTTCCTACACTTGATAAACAGGAGTAGGCGGGTGTCTCCTTACTTAGAATATGCTTACTTTCAAAATGCTTTGTGACTGTAGTACCCCATTGGCATTAATGTTCATTCATTAGACACAAATCTACTGTTACAAGGCCAGTCACATTACAGATATTATGCTGCACAGCCACAAATTATTTTTCAAAATTATCAACAATCAGTTAAATTGGAAAAATGACATAAATCATGTTACATCTGAGGTTCACATGATGGCTATGAAGAGTGCTAGCCTAGCAATACGTGGATATGGGGGTACACAAACTAGACACCACCTGCTTCCTCATTTTCAGGTCTCATTCAACAAGCTCATCTGTTTTGTTAGAATGCCTACTCTGACATGTCTCAATCACTCTGTAACACTTCACTCTAGGTATGTATTCGCTTCAATGACTTCTGAAGTTGCTAAGTATGAAATTTCTCAGTGAAATTCTGGGTTTCATAAAGCACACACTTAACTGGTAATATTGCTTTGGACTCATATTCGGGAGATGCTCGATTCGGATCTCAGTTGGGTCACCAGCTATCCTGAACAGGGGGTCTTACTGTTTTCCTGTCCCTCCAGGCAAATTCCAGGACAGTGCCTCAATCAGACCACCACTTCCTTCCAAATACTTCCAGCCTGTCATTCATCTACCATCATCTACCATCCTACTGTTCATTGCAATATAGTCTATATACTGAAGGGTGGTAACATAACACCTCCCACCACCCCAAAAATGAGGTCCACACTACTTACAGACATGAGCTCACCAACTGTACTGTATTATGAAAAGACTGGCATTATGTGGGAATTAAATTGTATAGAAAGCTCCCAGAAAGAATTAAACATCTATCCACAGGCTGAAAACAATTTCAATTGCCATTAAACAATTTATTTCACCTTCTTGTCTTTTGTTAACTCTTTACCAAGTAAAAAACGTTTAAAATAAAAACTGTATATTTCAAAGTCATTTATATCTTATGTCTATTACCATTTTTTAATATAAATGGGTGACTTTGGGGAAATTTGTGGAGTACAGTTCATGGATCAACTACTGCCACCTCTTCACAACGGCTTCAAATAAAGTACAGCAACTTAATTTCGACACAAAAATTTTGAAGTGCTGAGACCGACGTACAGATTTTCGATTTCCGGAAAGGCCAGGAGATTTTCACAGCGTTCACAACTATGTTCTACCCAGTCCTTTATCAATCGGTACCAGAAGCTAATTATCCAGGGTGTTCTGTTCAACCGACCGCCCACCTCCACTCCCCCATACGCCTTAATGGATTGGTTCCTACTACGCACAAGGCCGACTTTACTCTTCGCTGCTTCTCAGTTATCAAATTGTATCTGACCGTCCACCTCCACTCCCCCATACGCCTTCAAGGACTGTTACCTAATTATGAACAAAGTCAGCTTTACTCTTTGCTACTTAGGGTACTCTCCGGTATCAAATTGTATCCAAATCTGTGTGAGACTACTTTCTTCTGTGTGAGATTTCTCAGTCGAGGGCAGAAATGAGACTTCTGCGTACAATTTCACGTGCATTTCACGCCTTCAACACACAGACAACATAAAAACTTTAACAGAACATAAAGTTGAATTTTAATAATTTACAAATTTTTTAAAATTGTGAAATCCGTTTTTGATAAATACATACATCAGTATATTCCCCATAATAATATACTCCGGTAGTGCTAACATATATATAGTACGACAGTATTGGCCTTGGCATTCTCTGCCGTTCTCTACCATCTTTCGGTACCGGCCTAAAATTAAGCATAGGTCGCTAGCACCTTATATTCGGTTACATATTAATATTTAAATATTATTTACATTTTAAATCAAGACATGATAATTACGAAATTAATAAACCGTCATCCAGTTACTACTGCTGACGACAGTATAAATTCAACGCAATGAATCTCAACTAACCATATGTAATCATCACTTCCGTGTATTCACCACTTTTTACGTTCCTAAATGACTTGAATGGAATATCGTCCTTGATTCTGAGATACATAAATTCATATGCAATGTTACCATCATTTGGTTGCAAAAATTTAAAAATTTCATTCTGGTGTTGTGTATGAAATTTTCATTGCAAATATAATAGTTTCTCATTCGACCTTTGTAGGCCAAAAGCAGTTTAGAAATGAATCATGTAATCCTCGATCAATCCAATAGCGTAATCGATCGTAATAGTCAAAAGTTGGTACCAAGCAATCGTGAATACCGGGAAGTAGTACCAAGTTCATATGATGCACTAATTTGTTGATAGATAGTAGCACATTCTCAATTACATATCCTGCCATCTGAAGCACCGTATTAACACTACAATCAAAACACATTTATCAACCAGCATACCCGTTCAATGCTTCAGAACGTTCATTTCGTGTTCCGAAAATTTTGTCCCTGAGCAAAACTCCCATAACCATTATATGCGGCTATATGGGTCATTAAGCTTACCTGAATATGGTGGTAGAAAAAAATTCCTAACCCTGCCTGCAATCGGTCCCCTGATATCTGGGCCTCTGGGTTGCCCATGAGAAGTATGGGTTGATGTGGTTGTGTCTGTCTTGTGGGAGGCCCTACTGCAACCCATACACACCCTACAACCCTTATTTCAGTGGATGGACCTGACAAGATCCACTTTACATGCTGCTGTGAGAGACCATGTCTAAAAACATGGTACAGTAACTTGAATCAGTTCAGGAACATCCTCACTGCACATCCTTTTTAATTCATTGTACACCAATAATCCTACCATGCAATTGGTATACAGTGTAAGTTACTGAAAGCATTCCTAAATAATGTTGTATTTTAGCGTCCTGTTGCACTGATTTTCGTCCATGATATATATACAGTGTCCGTCTTGCAGTGACAGGTAAAAGTGGATGCACTGCAAGACGGACACTGTATACGAGTATATATCATTCCTAAATAAACTAACTATCAGGGGTAGAATCCTTCTTAAGAAGCTAATCTTTGCTTGTCTAGGCAAGACATGTAAGATTTCAAAATTCCCAACATATTACAGAACCTGAAGATTCATGAACCATGTTCACAAGACCCCACCACTGTTCTCTATCCTGAGCTAGCATGCAAGACCTAGGACTGGGACAGATTCATTGCATAATCAATAAATAAAATGAAAAATAAATTAATTAAACAACTCACTGGCTCCAAATGAACAAAAGTTAGTGTACCTGTTAATCAGATGGCAGAGGACAGGAACAAGAGGTGGGCTCTTGTAAACTTGACAACGAATTCCCAGGTTCAATATAAAGCAGTGAATTTCACTAGTTGAGCCAGTATCAGTTTCTGAAGAAGTTCTCTACTTCGTGGAGTCAGTTTTTTATTTGAGAAGTCTTGTGAATATGGTATGATTTCCACTTACAGTAACAAAGGTTTTGAGTTTGTGAGCGTCACACAAATGTTACATGTTATCTGTTCTGTATGTAACCCAGAGACAGGTTATGTATGCAATTATGATTGGCCATCTAGGATGTGCTGCCATGTAGCTATGTATGAAGATGTCATCGCTTCAGGGGACCCTGTAACCTCCATCTTCAGGTTAAATAAGCAACTCTCACATTCAAATGGTGGTCCAATAATTGGATTTCAATTATGCTCAATTTACATCATCACAGAGCTATGTTGAATGAAATATTAAACTCAGATATTTAATTTGGATTCCTTAAAAGTTCTCAACACCTCACAACCTATTACTTAACATATCACTACACTATATGGTAATTTTACCTACTGATACATAGTTCAACCTCAAAAATATACTGATAGAAAACTATCTACAGAAGAAAAACTGTTAATAATTTGACATGCAACTGATTAGAATCTGGCATAGCATGGAAAGAAATTAACAAAAAGAATCATTATTCTGCATAAATATTTTAATTGGTACTTAAAATTCTAAAAGAATTTATAAGCCCATATCTCTTAAGAACATATACATTGTATATGATACAAATCTTACATACATTGTAAAAAAAATTAGAAGCACATTCTATGTATATTATAGTACATATGGTATAATTTCTTTTTATACAATATTTCCTTGTGGAGCAAAATATTATTTATTTATTCATACAGGCCACAATATTATCATTTAATCATCCATACCTAGAGCATGTGATATCCTACAGCACCTATGTACATTGGTGGATATTTGGTTGTCAAAAGAAGTCTGCACAAACAATAATGATACCATAACCCTATTTTATTTTACAATCAGATATATTTAGTAATAAAAATATCTGAATTACAGTAAATGATGTTATATGAACCCATTTTTTGCAAGAAAGAAGATGACCAAAGAACTGGAAAACTAGTATTCCACAATGAGGGAATGCACTGCCAAATGATGCAAACACAATACAGTAAACTCCTTCTTATCAAATATCCAAGCTCTAGAATTCTGGTGAAACTGGTATAACATTCAAACAAAATTTAATATTTTTTATAAACTTACATTTGCAATGTGCATAGTTCACCTCACATCATAGTTTTCCCAGCCACCACCAGCAGTGCTGCCTGTTATCCTCATGCAGATGCGCTAACAGCAATAGTAATCCATGATTACAGTAAAGTCAAGGCCAATCTGTGATTGTATTGTGACATGTTGCGCTATGGATGACACCCCTCCCTCCCCACCAGCCATGACGTGCCGAGCGGAGCTGAAGTGAGCAGAGTCCAAGCACGCTGGTCGCTATGCAAAGCGAGTAAACACTGGTTGCTAGGCAAAGTGAGTAACAACAGCGGTACCCATTACATAACATGGGACGCCGCAGTTGCTACGTAGCAGTAAACAACTCCCAACAGCGTTGCTAGGCTACAGGCGACTAGGCAACAAGGAAGCGAGGCATTTCCCATTGTCTGGCTGAGGGTTTATAAGGGAACTACACAGCTGCTGAAGACAGTTCTCAAGGCAGCAGCCTACGAAGCGAGTTGGACTCTAGCCAGCAGTGAGCAGTAAGGAGTGAGTTGGAGCACAGCAGCAGTCGCGGAAAGAAGCACTGGCCGCGTGTGTGATAATCAGTGATAGTTCATGATAACTGAGAAATAATTGGAAGAGTGTGATACAGTTGCACTTGTATAACTCCCACGTTATAAAAAACGTGTAGACTACTGAGGATAGAAGGAAAAGATTTGTGTGTACGGTTTGTAAGGTGTGTTAACCCATAACATTGTTATAAGTATATGTAGCCAAGACTTGTAGGTTGTTAAATAAACCAGTTAACAATCCAAACGGCGTCTTCAGTAATAAAACATGTTACAGTATTATAGTAATCTGAAATCTTTCACACATTAATCTGCTGTCACCTAACTGGACTTCCATGAAAGAACTTAAGCAAAAACTGCATTACTCCTACTTTGTAACAGAAAATGGAGACATGTAAAAGAGCAGAAATGGTTAAAAAATCATATAAAAACTAGGTTTCTGTATGTTTTTCTCATTCAGCTGGCATATTCATGTAACAAGAACATCATATTCATGTTGGAACATCATGTTGGATAACAGGGAGTTCACTGCACTGGTTGTAATGGAATCTAATTATGTCAACATAACACTGAGCATGGCCAAATCAAATGATGCAAACAAGCAACATAAATATCTAAATTATAATAAATGTAGTTATATGAACTCACCTTTAGCAACAAACACAATTTAAAATGAATTGCAAAATTAGTGTTCAACGGTGAGGGAATGGATTTCCAAACAATACAAACATTATATTGGTTATGGTGAAATCTCATGATACCAACAAAATGTTAGTTATGACTGAATCAAATAATGCAAGCATAATATCGGTTATGGTTGAAATTACAACTAACGAGTGCTCATCTTCTGAAACACATCTGCCAGTATTCACATGTTCAGTTTTAGCCTCAGGACTGAAATAACAAGGCACTGACAGATGTAAGACTTCTGACTAGCTTGCTGGTATGCATCAAGTGTTTGCTTTGTTAATATGTGTAGTGGCTGAAAGGGCGCCCTGGAATGCACTAATATAAATCTTAAAAATTTAACTTCAAAACCAACACAAACTATGCACATTATAACAATTTAACATAAGTCTAGCATTTACAAATATATTTTCTGCATAATCAGCACAAAAATGCTCTAGTACTGAAAGACAAACTGGACGCTGGATTCATTCATATTTTAGTTTGTTAACAAAGAGGATGAAACACACATAAAAATTATGTCGGTACAAATATACTTTATGCTGTGATCTCACTAAATATCAGTGAAGAGAAATTTCTATTAATTAAAAACAGTAGCACTGTTTAATGTTATGGTATAACCAATTTTAGCACCATATATCTGTAAAATGATCTGTGTATTGTGGACCAAGTTCACACAGCATGTACCACTGTAAGTCAATGTCCCTGTGCTGGCTGAGTCTTTCCTCACAAATAGGTTGCTGCATAATACCTTTGATTCAGAGATACTAATAGTTAAGATATAAACTATGTAGGGTATGGTTTTAGGCTTCCATTATGTAAGCATAAAATAACTGGTAATAGACACAAATAATATATACGAAATATGGCATCTTGAACAGCAGAATAGAGCAGCATATATATCACTTCACTATGATACTCATTACAGAGGTAATGTGTTGTCAGAACAGCCAATGTGTTCATAATTACACATCTGTGTTTTCTAGTGTACTTCTGAAAGGCAGATGTTTGGTAAAGGATTACAGTATACAGCATGATACTAGTTTTCATACTTCTGAAAACTAAATGGCAACAGACTGAAATTTTCCAACGTAGTTCTCTGATGTTGCACACTACCACACACATGCAATGAAAATATATATTTTGTACACATTTATTTAAAATTCTCTACATTTTTTACTGAGGCTACATGGGACAACCGCCACGCTCGTGTGGCTTTTTCTTTTCTACTGCTATTTGTTCTATAAATTTTCCATCATTATCATCATGGAGGATAATTTGCTTTTTCTTTTCATGAAGAGAGCAAAATGATTCATCTATCTTTTTGCAAGGCTGACACAATCCCAACTGGTTTTGGTATCCAGAACCCTATCAAAAATGCTTCTTTAGCCTTTTGTAGCAGAACATAAATCAATGAAATGAGCAATAATGTACAGAGACATCAATTTCTTGCAATCCTATCTTCTATAAACTGCCAAAGTTTCTAATTCACTTCTATGAACATAATAAAATGAAACTCTTAACAAAATTATGTTAGTTGTCTGGTTGATATATTGCTATTTTAAACTACTTTCCACTTATAAGAAGGTTTTTCCACCCTTTAATCTGTCATAATCATGAATTTCAGAAAGCACGATGTTTCAGTCACCTCACTTCAAGCAGTGTCTTTAATTTCATGGACTTTGTCTCAAGAAAAATGGTCAGGTGGGACACAATAATTCAAACAAATATATTTTATACTCAAACAGAGGGTTACATATTCTGGAATGGTTCAGTAAATACACTGTAACTTAGTATATGACACATTTATATCTGTGCAGCCATCTCTATACACCACAAACATGCCACAGTCCAGTAAAAAATTTTGTTTTTCATCTCTGTAACAGAAATATAAATGAATCAGTTTCTTGTATTTCCTCCCTGCAGGCACACAGAGCAGTCCTCCCTGTAAAAATATGAATTCCTGTCATTTATTCCCAAGTTAAGAACCTACACAAAAATTTTATTTTTTTCAAGTTTCTATTTCCAGGTGGAGACCTAACAAAGAACACCAAAAGATATTAAGAAATGGTTTCATATTCCTGCCAATATGTAGTGTAGCCATGGCTGTTAAAGTGATGTACAAGTATTACGGTAGAGTTTTTTGATATGATGTGATTCTCACTCACAATCCTTCTTTTTTAATGACATAAGTAAACTTTAATTCATTAATTTGAGTGGTGTTCCTTCTACAACGTTCTAGCTCTTATACGAGTATACTGTGATGACACGGAATGAAATCATGTCCTGGGTGCTTCTACAAAATGAATCATTACACAGGGAATCACTTTCAAGAAAATCATTAGCCAATAGAACAGAGCACTAACTAAGATCCAACTAATTCCATCAAGTTCAGTCCTTCCTAAGAAGCCAACCAAGCAATTCCCATCATTTTGAGGAACCTGAAGGTTCACTGCCATGTTCACAAGAGCCTGCCACTTTTCCCCATCCTCAGCCACATGAATTCTGTCCACACCCCATCATCCTGCTTGTTTAAGAACCATTTTTAATATTATTCTTCCATTCACACCTAAGTTTTCCTTGTGGTCTCTATCCTTCAGGTTTTCCCACCCAAAACTTTGTATGCAATTCTCTCCCATGTATACTACATCCCCTGCCCATTTCATCCTTCTTGATCTGATAATACTAATAACATTTGGAGAACAGTACAAATTGAGTGCATCAGAGCTTTAAAACTGATCTTCTGGATGGCCATTTCATACACTCCTGAGGTGTCCAAGTAGATCATGTTAAATATATGAAGTGCATACAGACTCAGTGGTTAAAATATGCCATACTGAAAGCTCATTTATTTTATATTAAAGTAACAGTGCATGTAGAAAAACAGACACCACCTGAGCTACTGGAGATGTCAAGTGGCCTCCGTAGTCTAGGGGTAACGTTCCCACCTCATGACTCAAGGTACGCAGGTTCAAACCTGGCGGAGGTCGTGGAATTTTTTAAGGGCAGAAAAATTCAGGGAACAAGTCCTCCGGGAGGGACTTTAAACCGTGGGTCCCGTGTCGTAGATTTACGGCACGTAAAAGATCCTCATGTCTCTAGGAGACCTCTGAGCAAAATTAGGCAAAGTTTCCCGCCCAAGTAGTTTCCAATGCCTCCGGTAGATGGGGAAGTATCGGGTACCACTGCCAGCCTCACTGGTTGAAATGGGGCTGATAGCGAGCACCAGTACCGGCAGGGTATGCTGACTGGTAGAATATCAAAGGGGGACGTACAATAGACTATTAGTCGCAGTGCATGGGGAAACCCACCCCCTCCAATAATAATAATAATAATAATAATACTGGAGATGTCCGCCACTATTCGACAAAATCCTTAGAACAATCCAGATAGCTCTGCCAGTGCTGCATGAACTAAAATGTGTCGCTGGAGTAGAAGTCTGTTTCAGCATTTTTCAACCATGTACCCACAGTTTACTGGACTGCCATTTTGGTTTCATAGTGTTCAGGTGGTAGTCTGAAGGGAGCAAGTTCAAACTGCCCAGCCAAAGTTTCCAATCTTCTCCAATGTCAGGTGTGCAGCGTTCTGGCATGCATTATCACATTGAAGACTGGAGTCTTTTTCATCAGGTACTTGTCAGGAACTACATTTAGTATTTTCTTGGGCATGTGAATGTAAAGAACTGCACTCACAGTTTGCTTAGCGTGTATGAAATCAAACTGCATGCACCGCTTGACATCCCAGGAAAATGTTCACATAATCATTACAGCCAGGGATATGCATCTGGCCTCCTCCTCATTTGGAGATGCAGCATTATGCCATTCCATGCTCTACCATTTTGTTTCAGGAACAAAATGGTGGAACTAGCTTTCATCAGGCATTATGTTCGGTAGGAAGTCACCACCATCAGCAGCATGGCATTGAAACAGCTGTGATGACACATCCATGTGTGCCTTTTTGTGCTCATCCATCTGCAGTCAGGGAACCCAGTGACAACAAACTTTCCAGTATACCAAAGCCTTTGTCATCTCCTGTATTGAACTGTGTCCAACGCTGAGCTGTGCTATCATTCCCTAAATGCCACCTATTGGTCTTCTGTGATAAGCACCTCAACTTTCTGATCCTTGCATTCTGTAGCTGCAGTTACTGTGACAGTGGTGAGGCAGATTACTGATATCCCTGCTGCCATACTTGAAGTGTTTCACCCAACACCGCACACGGCCGGCCACCCATGCATAAGTCTCCACACACATCATCAAATCATCAAATATATTTGTAGCAGGACTGTTCTCCTTTACACGAAATTCAATCATGGCACGCTTATGATATGATACATCATTGTCAGCCATTTTGTTATAGTGGATTATGGATAAGTATCTGTATTTGCAGGCGTGTGCTGTGCCTATGTCTCAAGTTGCAGAAAAGGCATACAGCTATTGGCCCAGTCTTGCTGTGTCAATAAAATATACATAAACCTCTGCTTCTCATTACATTTGTTACAATCCTCATATATATATGTTACATGACATTCACACAATATATTTTAAGAGAGAACCTGGTTTTGAGCAAACACTTTTGTGTGAAAATGAGACAATGGCAATTGAACACT